GGAAAACACTGAAACCCAGCCATAAGCACTGGTTTCACCCGTGGTGAAAACCCAAAACCTGTGGTCCCCTACCAACGTGCGCCTTTCAAACTGTGGCTCTTTTTAGGCACTATCCGATGAAAGAAATAGCAGTGAACAAATTTTTAAAATAAGCAATTTTCTCATTTAAATAAGCATTGAAATTTCTCATTTAAAGTAAGCATTTTTTTTTAATCTTTTTAAAGTAAGCAGTTCTTGTCATAAGTAAATTTTCTCATGACTCAGCGTAATACTCCAAGGGATTTCCTCTGAATTTCCAAACAGGTCACCTTGGGTCAGAGACTGGAGCTACAACATTCCCACCCTTGAAAATTCCAAGAAATGCTGTGAATGCATGAAAAAAAGTGTGTTTGGGGGGAATGTTTATCGTGCTGGTCAGACCTGGCATCTAATAAAATTAAGATGGTAACTCATGCCACCAAATTTGAAGATTCCTTGCTTGGGGGTATCATTTCACCTTAGGGTTGTCCTAGAGGCTATGAAGCATCTGAGATGTTGAGGTTCTACACTCACAAATGGCAGTGTTGGTATCAGCATCCATGGGCTCAGAGTGGCACCAAATATCCTTGCTCCTGCCGTACTGTAGTTTGCGCAAATGGCAGTGTTGGTATCAGCATCCATGGGCTCAGAGTGGCACCAAGTATCATTGCTCCTGCTGTATTGTAGTTTGCTGTGAAAAACCACCTTCTTGGTAGGGTTGGCCCCATTTTTTTTTCTGTCATGAGCAGAAAAGCCACCGCCTGAGGTTGCTACGTGGTGGTAAAGGCAGCAGAGAACAGCTGTGTGCTCAAGTGTTGTTTGCTTTCCATTGGAGCTGCTCCGGCTCAGATGCTGGAGGTCGCTGCCCTGCAAACAGAATCACAGAATCTCAGAATAACATGGGGTTGGAAGGGAGCTCTGGGGATCATCTAGTCCAACCCCTGTGGACGTGGGGTTTTAAGGCCAAGCACAGACGTGGGGGTGGCTTGTCTGCTGGGCTTGGACCTGAGCAGCTGAGCGACCTGCACTTTTCTGCCATTCTTGCAGAAAAGCTTCAATAGCGCTGGTTTGTCATTGAAAAGGAAGATTATATTGTATGGCTCAGAAACAATGTCAGAAGAGAAGGCTGAGGGGGGATCTGATCAATGTTTATAAATACTTAACA